ACAGTGGATTTTGGGCGTTCGCTTTTTATGGTGGCTACTCCCACTGGCTATGCGGCTACCAACAATCCGCTGCAGCAGTATCACTACACGCTTAAACTAGTGAATGGCAGTAAACGCGCCAACCCGGTAGAACTTGTAGTCCGCCTGGATTTGTTGCGGATTGCGCATATTTTATCGCTGCAACCATTTCGTGACCAGCCTACAGTGTCTAAGCGCTTACTGTTCCCTTTCGGAAGAGTCGACAACAAAAAGGTGATGACTGCTCAATTAGTTCAGCGGTATCAAAATTTAGTTTTGGTGCGTGTCGCACCAAACCCATCGCCAACTACCACTGCACAAGAGATAGGTGCTTTGAACAGCCTGATGCCAGTACTCTCAATAAAAAAAACACGTGTACATACAAAGCCAAAACCTACGCTAGAATATGCTGATTCAACATACCCGTCAGTGGATGGATCGTGGATGTTACTAGCCGAACTTGCATGTGCCTCTGCTGGAAGAAGACAGGCATGTGCCTACATGTCATTAAGGCAACTAAATATGCCGGGCTTCATGTCCCGGTATGCCAAATCTGGCACATAGATTTGTTAGGCCCGCGCAATAATCACGCATTACAATTCGGCGGGTAGCGAACGATGCATTAGAAGCAGAAAACATTGAAAATTTGGGTTTGAGCGAGATTGAAGGTGTTATGTACGACCCACTGACGCTTTCCAATTCTATGGGGGCATTTGAAGCGCAGTCTGAGCAATGAAAAACACTCAACTGTACTGCTGGCTGATTTACAGAGTGAATAATGCAGAACATGGTGCACATCCGACCGCAGTGTAGACCTTGCCACCACCTGTAGAGAGCACGGATAGGCGTCAATGTCGACAGTCAGATGCGCTCACTCATGCAGTCACCAGCGATAATGCTGGCAGATACAATGAATTCCGACTAAACACGCAACAGGCGCTGCGCGAGCATGCCACTAGAATAACAACTCAGCCGTGCAATGTCTTGCGTAGGTCGGCAAGATCAAGGACACCTACACGCAGAGCGCGAGGGTCGCGAGACCAAAACAAGCGCCATCGAAGTATGCTGATTGACATCAAATCATGGGCAGATACAGGCCTCACGATACCGACGGCTGTTATCGCTTCGATAGGACCACATTCTGTGAAAAGAACCATCACGGAGCAAGATACGGGGCAGGTTGTTGTCCACCTCTACATTTCTAACATCTTATAAATACAATGATTCTTGATTTGCTTTCATTTAGAAATCTGCAGTCTAATGCACACGTCGCGCTTCAAGACTTTCCAGCGAGAGGATCGACACACGAACACACAATGAGTCGCTGACTCGGACGCCCGTGCAGCCGGCTGCTTATCCTGGATCAAAGAGGACGGAGGCTGTGAGCCGATCACACATCTCA